TATATGACAGGTGGTGAACGAATAAGTTGTGATTCGGTCGGAAAAATAAGTTACGGTTAGTAGGTTTGTATTACCTGATTGGAGAGTATATTTACTCAACTCCTCACAAATGAACTTTCAGTTACCGGGGCTTGATTCGGAATGTTCAGAACAAAAATCATCAACAGAAAACGCCCCGGGGTAATGGTGATACTACTGATGAGGAGGCACGTGAGTAGTATGTGTTGTTTGCTTTGTAAGATTTGCTTGGATTTGAGCAATGAATGATTGGAGTCAATAAATATCCAGGAAAGTTCAAGAAGACGCGTTCAGGAGAAGATGGATGTCCAGTTTTTGTAAATAAGATGCAAATGAGTGTTTTGCTTCTCTGTCCAATGGTCTGTAACCGGTGAGTTGGCATTTCCTAATAAGTAACTCCGTGGCGAAGGCCTTCTTCCTTTCACTGGTAGTCAAAAGCCACTTGCTGACGGTATTGTGGGCTCCAGAATGGCATGGAATGCGAAACACTGTTGATCACTAAGTGTGCGGATACTTGCATGTGAATGACAGTTGTCATATAGCGAACCTTGAGAGGGTCGTTTGTTCCATTAGAGAGCATGAATGTAAAAGATTTAAGAAGAAGGGAGAAGTTCGGTTCCTAGTTTGTGAACAGACTGGATACCTGGGGTGAAGTTATTTTTGATTGTAGTGAGACTGTACCTACTTCGTGATGTGTATCCGGAAGAGAACAGTGGAAGCCAATCCCTATCGGTCAGTCCATTGTCCAAGTTAATGGTTTGGGCTGTAATTTGATTGACGGAGCATATTTTTCACGGAAAGCACCACAGGTTCAGTAATAGGGAAGCTTGAACTCGCGCATGTTACAAGAGTACCTGATTCCAAATACTACCTACCTCTAACTTTGCTTCGGTGGATTCACAGTTCAAGCCCTTTGAATTCTGTGTGCCGGTTGACTAATCGATTTCACCTTGGGGTTGGGTTGGGTGTTAGAATTTCTCGAGATACTGGTTTGGAGATGGTTTTCCAAATGATGTGAAGCTCGACTGCTGTGCAGTGATCTCATTCATATCATAAATCAGAGGGGATTCTGGTGTAAAACACCAGTAATTATGCTCATCCTCAATTGTATGCGCTGCTCAGTCTGTATATAAACATATGATGTAGATCGAGTGTGATTCCGAAATGCCTGCTTGGTTTGAAGATCTTCTATGTCAGTCCTGCTCTGTATAAGGTTGGGTTTGTTGCCGAACGCAAATGGTCCGAATAGTATGAGTATAAATAATTACAAGATGTCATCTGAAATTGTAACTGAGACGTGTACTCCTGACGTACCATAATGTGTGAGTAAATGTCGCTCCCAAAGTACGATTTTCAAGGAAGCTTTGCGAGTTGAATCCGAAACTCTTTTCCTGACTAAGATGACGTGACCTTGTTATTCAGTTCCAAGGTCAAAGTCGAGCAATCATGGTGGAAAGGTGATGGTAGCAAATAATACTTGAAACCCCTGAAGGTGTAAGCATTTTTCGGTGAAGCGAATGCGACAAAAATGTGGGTAGCCTGCGGTGCTAAAAAAGGTGCATAGAATGTCCCGAATGGGTGAAGTTTTAAGACTTATCAAAAGTAGGAAGTACATCGGAACATCGTTCGCACTCTCCTACTCACTATGGAGAGCAACACACCATCAGTATTAACAAGCGCCCGGATATCACTTAGAAAATTCAGATGCTGTCGAGCAATGGTTGATGTATCAGATTGATTGTTTGATACCTGGGGTGCCGTTAGTACTTAGTCTCAAACAGAACATTCAGATTTCGGTTCAAATGCGGCAGTCGGTAAGAGGTTACCGGAGAAGCGGGTTTGGCCGCAAATATGTTCCAACACCTAACCTGAAGCACCAACAAACTGCGTTTGTTCGATTAAGTGGTCCTCATACAGGGGCGTTAAGGCCCTTAGACGCTTTAGTTCCTGTGTTATCTATCCGCAAAAAGACGGATCGTTAGATTAGTGAACCGACCCTTCGCTTTACCGAAATGTGTCACTTCACATCGAGTGACCAACCACACCCAGCCTCAACACCTTTTGAGTTGAATTGCTATATATGTGATCGAAATCAATAACTGTTTAAGGGAAACCGTACAGTCAGTTTGATGCTGACAATATGCGGAATGGAAAGCAGCTAGTGTTAGAACACATGTCGAAGATATGATGATAAGTGGTATGTTGTCTTCATCAGACAGCACTTCACAGAAAATGAGGATGGGATACCAAACCAGCCCAGTAGGTAACACATCCGTTCTCCTTCGGTGTGGATATCACTGTCAGCACGTGTTTAATGCTGCTATTGCAGGTGGCGGAAGTATCAATTTTCATTAGTGTATACCTAACGAACCGCAGTTGGTCGCAGACTATTCAACTCCCAACCTATATGTTTCTTTGGGTTTCTTTAGCTGTGACAATTTGGGAATTGTGAATGAAGCCGCCACACCTTAGTGGATGATTTGCGAGGCCTCCGGTAGCAGATGGTCGGTGCTATCATCCTGAGCATCTCATTGCTATAGGTTCAAACCACAATAAACATCGCGGACGATGCTGCCCCTAACAGTGTGCCGATGACGTCACCAAAATGGTGGTAGCTATAATCACCGTATGGCAGCCGATGATGCTGAGATCAACTCAACTGGTGTCGAAAAGTTCACAATCAAACCACTGAGTTCAACGAACAAACCAACGATCATCTGCACTACCTGAGCTACCAACATTCTCCTAATTAGCAAATGCTGCTATTTGAATTTGACAGAGATGGCATGGTCAAGCAGTTGTACATGACCAAAGAACTACTTACATACTTGTAACGCACTACTCATAAGGTTGCTGAAAATCCATCGACAGCCAACGACAGGTCTCGCCCTTCTTGGGGCTCAGCAGGTAGGCGCAGTCCCCGAGTTTCCGTCAACCTTATTTTACTTGAAACCAACGTGCACGAAATTAGCGAATATACACTCATTTGCAAACAATTTTTTTCGCCCCAGGAAGAGCGAAACCGGCCGTGGGCTGAAGGATTTTCAGCAACCTTATGAGTAGTGCATTACAAATATACATGTATCGCGATATCTCGAATATCGTAGCGACTGAAACATGAGGTGGCTTGGTGCAACACATTCAGTCGCCTGGAAACACCACAGACGAGAGATTCAGCTGGGTTCCAGGCGAGTCTCCCGAAAAAAAGCAAATTAGTTTGCAAATGAGTGTATATTCGCTAAAAACTACTTATTTTGACGTGGCCATCAAAATACTGTCCAAGCTGGCCACCGGTACATTTTCCCACCTCTACTCAGGTCGCGAAGGAAGCCAAATACGGAGCAGCACCACACGGGACAGCGCTAACCAGGCCGCACGTTTGAATGCATGAACCAGGGCAACGAATTAAACTGCGGTTTTTTTTACTGATTTTCTGGCCGCAGGCGTATTCCAAGCATGTAATTTGGGGAAAACGACGCGACTACTTGTTGATGAGATTAATACTGTTGAGTTATCCCAAGAGGTAGGCATGCTAGGCTGCAGAGATGGTCGAACTCTGATAAATCCATCTAGTTCATTGGTCATCCAAGTGCGTGGCCCCATTTGAGAACCTTTGGATCTGTTGCAAGGTGGGATTGCATAGATCTACTCTGTGGCTACAAGAAAATCGTCGCTTCGGCAGGACTGAGCTAATCGTCTAACCGTAGGTCCCGGCTGCTCGGTGGCGTTTCCAAGTTGAACATAACGAGGTAACATTCAATAATACTATGCACAGGGGAAGATTGGCTACCAAATATGTCAGTGCTTTTTTCTCAACGATCCACAGCTGGCACATGGAAAACCTCATTTTTGTTGCGGTGCCGGGACCATTCGTTCCGTCTTATTCAGGAGTTTCAGCGCTCGCATTTCATGTGCACTCGAAGTCAGCCAACTCCATCAGATTATCTTACAGCATTCACGACCCATGCTTGATCTTACCAATTCAGGCAAACAAAACCAATCGATACACTGCAACCAGAGTTTTTCATGCTAACCAAATTGAATTCAGAATATCACTGAGTGTTGTCCCATTAACTTCAGACTGCGAAAAATAGAAAACGGGGTGTTGACTGAAATCTTACGGATAGTCGTGCACGATAAAAAAACGGAAACTTGATAAAACAAGTTTGATTGTGTGATGGATAAATATCATGAACACGCGTCCACTCAAGTGTCTTCATCAAGCAGCATAGGACCGGAAAAACTTCCAGGAACCGTAACCTCATGCGTGTGATTTTAACGATGGGAATGAGTTTGTACAAACGAATAAATCTCAACCTTCCGGCTGTATTCCCCGCTATGGAGTAAACGTTTGCAAACAAAGCACTCAATAACAAGTTGAACATTAGCCAAACCCAATACGCGATGGGCTACCAGTGTACCGGTGGGTACTACTGAGAAGACGTGCGAGTAGTACGTGGTGTTCTCGTAATTCCTTCTTCGTTTCACCAATATTCACTCAACATCACCACTATCGCAATCACTTTTTCGAGGTCTATTAAGAGGACACATATACCTCCAAGGATGAGATACGAAGACAACTGGATACGGTTGCAGCTGGGTCTGTCAGAAAGGGTGGGGGAACAAGAAAAGCAACATTGTGGTTTAGTAGAATATTGACTGGCGAAAAAATATCGGCAAAAAAAGGGCAGAGGAATATCACAAGGAATCCGAGGGTAACGGGAGTTGCACACATTGATCTGTGCCTGGATACGCGGGCAGCTGAAGACGATACTTTGCCGCGATAGAATCGGGCACGAAGCGGCCACCTGGAACCAGTAAACGAACATGTATTGATTACTTATTGAAAAAATATATCCAACCAATCTTTCCAGAAATGGGTCGTTTGAACAAATTCTAAACAAAGCGTTTCAATCTTTGGTGCAGTTGAACAAGTCAACGGTACGCAAAATGGAGTGTAATATATTAGGGGGAAAATGGAAGAATGCTCGGTCGACATAGTCATTCTGTTGGGTCGTTTGACAAAAAGTATCTACCTATTGTTGATCGATTTATTCGAATTCCCAATAGAACATAATGATGCATCAGTGCCCAGGATGATTCGGAGGAAGACAGGAAATGCGAGCGGAGTTAGGCACCCTGATGTTATCTTTTTTGAATGCACACACTTACGTGTCAATCTGACAGGAGACGACAATGTCAATAAACGCGAATGGATAGGTGTTCCGTACGTAAAAAGTGCTCCGATGCACTTTATCGGCTCGGACGTGCTGGTGCAACGGATACAATGCTTGTGTGGATAGTTAAGATCAGTCTAGAGACCTACAGATGTGAAAGTTTGCGGCTAAAGTGAATTGTTCAGGGTCTTTTCGCTTTGGTCTTTGAAAGGCGAAAAATCCGAGGCATCTTCATATCTTTAACAACGAAAGCTTCAGTTGTAGCTGGCACATTCACAGCAAGAAGATGAGGGAAACATGTGTGAACAGTGAGTACAATGCTCAACTTTTGTGAGAAGCAGTTTCAAAGATCCCAAAATATTTTTACTTTGGTTTTAAGTTCATGAGAATGAAAGAGTATGAGAGCATGAGTGAAACAAAATAGTACTCAGTGGTGTTCGAACGCCCCAACCCTTCAAAGCAGAGCATGTTGGTGGCCCGCACGAATAAGGAAACTCACTTCTGAGTGCACTTGCCTCACTATAGTCATGCTGATATGATTGAATAAGCTATCGCCATATGCCATTTCGATTATTTGGATAGTATCAGTTTATGAACAGTCTTGGGTTTTGGGAAGATAACAGCTTCATATGCGTCCAGTTCAAATCAGGATATGCACTGCACCTACCCAAGTAACAAAGGGATTTCCAGTTTTTTTTTAAGTTTACTATTGTACCGTCCGAGCTAGCATGGAAGCAGTGTCTTTTTATACGTTCGTCTTGGTTTACACCGTGGGTCACACATCGAACAGTCTTATTTTCTGAAACGGAATGAGTTTTTGTCTGGTATTCTGGTGTGATCACGACAAGTGCTATCAAGCTCTTCCACATTCAACAGACAAGTGTCAATGAAAGATACGGCGGGAAAAAGGAAGAAAACTTCTTGGATATCGAGAAGTAAATTTTAAACACAGTTCAGTCGGCGATCAACTGCTGTTTGAGAGATCTCCGCAGTTTCGCTCGACTTCATATTTAGCCTTTGACGAACTCTGTACAATCATTCGGGAGTTGTGCATCCTAATTTCTGAAGTAGTTTACCAGCCTTTAATTACAGCGTTTTTCTGCCATCACCTATCGGTCTGATCTATCGCGTCACTGTTTCTAATGTTATTTCCTCGAGGGATAATACGGGGTTTCAATGGGCCGAAGAACAGTGGACAAAAAGCGTGATGAGCCCCAAGAAGGGCGAAACCGGTCGTGGGCTGTCGAAGAGTTTTCAGCAACTTTGTGAAAAAGCGTGATAGGTATGCGCTCAGCTGATTTCAGCCTTCAAAGTTCTAGAGTCCAGACACACTGAGATCTGGAAAGTTTGAAGCCAATAAACGCATGTAGGTGTGTATTGGGGCGAGATGGCCCAAGTGGTTAGAGCGCGACTTCACTGACCGGAAGGTCCGTGGTTCGAATCCGACCTCTGCCACTCGACTTCCCCTGTCTAGGCTTGGGCAACCTGGCAGTATCCCAGCCCTCGTGCTTCCTTCGGGTGGCATGGCAGCTAGGCACCGAAAGGGTGCTACAGCTGAACGCTTCTTCTTTTCCAAGTGTGTATTCAGTCAGAGCTAGGAAATGTCAGTTAACACATCACGACGGATCGTCAGTGCACTAACGATTTCACCTCGATTGGTGATGAAACGTTTGCAATCCAACTGCCAAGCTCGGTTAACAGATCAACAATCAACAATGCACCCGAGCTATCTATATTCCACAACATTGGCGTGATAAAAACGAGCCAGAAGAACCTGCTCAGTAAACTTACATTTATCAACTCACTCTGATGACTTCACAAGTGTGTAAAGTGATAGCAGCTCAAAAACGGTGGCTGGTCGTGAGAGCTTGGCAGCGTTCTCACAGCTTGTTCAATTCGCGCATTCAGAATCGGTCAATTTCAACTGTGTTGGGTTGACGGCGTGTTCATAAAGGATATGGTGTACGTGTCTGTAGGTTCAGCTATACGGTTTCTGATAGGAGAGCTGCGAAAGACCATGAACAAGCTAAAAGAAACAGCTCGTGACGTGTTCAAGGGGACGAAAGTTCAGGACGGGGTGAGCTTTTAGGCTCCATTAAGAGTGGGGTTTCATAGTCACACTGTAAGCACCAACCAACTGTACTTGGGGATTCGCCTAAAGCAGGAAGCCTTCACATGCGAGTCAGACTGTACAAGAACAAAGCTGTACCAGTCACAGAGTCAAGCTCAAGCTTCTCAGGGCGCAAAGAGTTAGGTTGGATATTGAACGGTGTTGTACCAGTCACAGAGTCAAGCTCAAGCTTTTCAGGTGGCCTGAGGACTTTTATCCCTGACATCTTTTCGTTCAGCTGTAACACCCTTCCGGTGCCTATCTGCCATGCCACCCGGAGGAAGCACGAGGTCTGGGATACTGTCAGGTCGCCCAAGCCTAGACAGGGGAAGTCGGGTGGCAGAGGTCGGGTTCGAACCACGGATCTTCCGGTCAGTAAATTCGCGCTCTAACCACTTGAGCCATCTCGCCCCATCCCTGACTGATTGTGTTTCACAATGACATGAAAAAATGAGTGGTCTAAGGATAGAAAGAAACGCACCGAGAAAATGAAATCGTCCTCGAAAAGCCCGAGCACAGAGTTTGGGCGCGGTCAGGGAGATTAGGCAATCCGGATTCAAACTGCCCTCTTCTACTTCGCCCACATCCGCTTCAACGTTCCATCCTGAAACAGGCAGAATGACACGTACAAAAGTGATCAACATTGCGGATATCTCAGACCCAAGGCACATAAAAGGGTCGGATAAACGAGAAGCTGATATGCACCGGAAATTGAGCGATTGTAGGTTTGTTGTTCTTCGAATCCCCCACTTGGTGAGCTACAAAGCGACAGGAAATGCCTCGTATGATGCGCCAAACGGGCTGGAGCCGGTAACACAGCCCAAAGAAAACCTTATACTAAAAAACAGATTAGAAACAGAACCGAGTGGGAATAAGACGTTTACAACTAGTGTTGACTGCATGCTTCGCGCATGCAATGACTAGTGTTTGAAGACACCTTGATGGGGGGCCTGACAAGCACAGTCAAAAATACGTCGTCGAAAAGTTGATAGTCACTGAGGCCTGCTTGAATAAAAGCCTTATAAAGTGGAGAACTACAGCACAGAAAATGGCGTTCGAAAACCTCTCTCCGACAAGAGTAAGGGTTGGAAAACGGATAACTTTGTATTGTCCTACATTAGAACGTCTCAACATTTGGGCTATCTTCAAAATAAGCAAAGCATTCCAATCCGGGCATACATGCACACTTGTGAGTCAGTGAGGATGTATAGAGAACTCTGAGGCAGCGTTCCTACAGGTAGCGCGTTTCATCTAGGACGTCCAATCTAGCTGTTTTTGTTCGGATTGGTCATCGATGTCACAGTGATGTGAAAGTGAGAGGATCCCACTCGGCAGAGGAAGAGCAAACAATTAAGCATTCACGATGCGTTTACAAAGCGTAAACGTATGCCTCAGAATTTACATGGGGAAGGAGACATTGGGAGTTACGGAGCGTCTCGTTTCACTTCGAAGGTATTTGGTGATTTGGAAGCTGAATTCGGTTCACAAAGCTTAAAAGTTGCAATTGAGTTCACTTGCGTGAGCTACTCGTGATGTCAAAGCAGCATATCAACAGGTATCGAAAGGTGAATGCATTTTGTTGTGTACGTGCCAAAGATCTGAGGCGCCAACAAGTCGCTGACAATGTCTCATATGCAATCAACCTGCGGCATACCACAGATGCTGGCTTATACTGGTCATCTAATCCCATAGTTCAAATACACCATCAAGTAATGACGATACTTTCCTTCAAGTCATGGTGATGCTCGCGTCGTTTTACTGAATCTGCAACGAGGAGTTGGAACCGGCGAGGTTTCCAACATCGGCAGTAAGCACTGGCGCTTATGTCGCCTTTGAGATACACGGGTCCATGTCAGAATTTAGCATCAGGCGTGAATACTGCTCAATGAATTCACTGGGATAAGATGAATATGAGAGCCACTAGGGCCACAATCACAGTGTAAGACGACTTGCGCAGAGAAATTTCGATCACAGCTCAGCCGTTATTCCTGTGACTTCATCAGAAACAAGTCATGTCCCGTTTTATTACGGTGATCGAGAGTCATTGTTTCGGGTAAGATCACGTGATTTCACGCTAGCGGCAACTGCAGTTGAGCGGAGCGGATATGCCCCGTCTAGGCTTGGGCAACCTGGCAGTATCCCAGCCCTCGTGCCTCCTTCATGTGGCACGGCAGCTAGGCACCGAAAGGGTGCTACAGCTGAACGGTTGTTGTTTTTGTTTGGAACGGATATAAGTGAGATTACACAAAATTGGATTATTAATATAAACGAAGTTGCGCGTATTGTTGAATGAGATGGAGCAAAACAAGAGGTAAATGAGTTAGGTGGTGGATAATTAGAGGAAGAATGCAGATCAAGTAAACACCGGAGTGGTGGTATTCAATTACCAAACTAGCGTAGCGAGACCAAATAGCTGCTTTTGTCTGCAGGGTTTAGAAGATGCATGACAACAGTTTCATCGACTTTAGGGACATAAACTTACTTGAACGTGAAAATAACTATAAAAAATATTGACAAGTTTACAGGGCAGCTATTGTCCATTAGGTGTTTTGTCATTACACTCCTGCGTACCTGAGTTCTGGAGTCACTTAAGGGTATGCTCGACAATACAAGGCCTAGTATGGCCGACGTACCTGGATCCGCAAACTGATAAATTACGTCAGTTTTGGTGAGTAAAGATACTAACTAGCGCACGCGTGGTTTTCTCCATAAACAAGAGTTTGCCGATGTCAAAAGTCCGTTTGAGTGTCGCGTTCAAACGGCGTTTGATAACAGGAGACACAGCAACTTTGAAAGGCAATGGGAAAAACCTTTTTCGAAGAACTGCTGCTATCCACCTCACTATAACGTACTCGTCACTAGTGTGAAACCACGCGATTTTATTGAGCGACCGGATGCACGTGTCATGACGTTTTGAACATTTGCGAGTGAGCCTTTTCCGATAAAAATGTATATAGCATCACAGGAGTAACTGAAACGCCCAAAATCTACAAAGATGAGACCCACTCTGACTACAAAAAATACCGCTTAACCACATGGCTGGTCGAAATTTTCAATCTTACCCGCGAGGGTTTCGCACACCACTGCGTAAGGAATTGTTCTGAAATTGCGCAAGCTCTGGACCTGTTGTGAGTGAGTTCACGAAAGGCGTTTTATGCAGATGTCGACTTTTTATTTCCGAATGTATCGTTGCACCAGACTGTCTCCAGGAGAAAGAAGGGTTATTCAAAGGACCCGGATTTCCAATGGCTACGCAGAAAAACTAACCAGCGTCCATAGCACATCACGGCCCAAGCGGGAACCTGACTGCTCCAGATAAAGGAGGCTGTTTGTCAGACCACAGCTGTATGGCACAAATTGCGTGTTGCAACCCGTCTATGTAACCAGCCGTTCAACTAGCCCTGCAGGTTGTATTGTACTAATCTCCTTGTCCAACACGTTGTGTGGCAAATCACATGCCCATGAGAACGCGTCTCAGAACATTTGCCTCGTTACGAATCAGATGACTAATCGATCGACCAATGGTCTGAGGCTGAGGCCCGAAAAACTGCCTGATCGATCGCCGAACACATTCTATCCACTTGACACAGAAGTGACCCCAATTCAGCATTCAGAATTTTACGCCGCAATGTCATTTCGAAAATGGGGCCATGTTAATTAACCAACACTGATCCAGCTTGTGCGCACAAGGAACCTTGACACAACCCATCAACTTGTCTTGAGCTTGAGAACCAGACGTGATTTACTCAGGATACGATTAACTCTGTTCTACTGTTTTATTGCTACTTATTCCTATTTCTGATGTAAAGTCGATGGTGTTTGGTATTGCAGATGATACCACCGTAAGAGGAATATCGATATCTCACAGCCTTTGTTTTCTTACCGTATTATTCACAAGAGAAACGGTTGAGTTGTGGTTAAAATGTCTACAAAGGACATCTTACACTGTGAATCTGGCTCATTTCAGCGCAGTGGCCCACCAAACGAAGGGGGCTGACAACAAATCAACAAGTGCATCGGAATAAGGCCGAAGTGTAATACGACAACAAAGTGGACGGTGTCTGTGGTCGGAGAGAGCACATAATTTGCTGTCGATTAAGCCAGAAGTGAGTCAGTCACCTTTGGTTGAGTTCCAACTCGGCGCATTCAAAGAGGGTCATTGCAGGGCCTACCCTGCGCAAAGAAGTTTCACACTTAAGTCCGGCCAGCAAATCGGGGCTGACCACGGAACCATGGTTGCATAGCTAGATATGTCTATTTTGATTACAGCACAAGTCCGTTCACGATGAACTGACACTATCCGGGTTTGTTTACACACACTCAAGAGATACGATCAACAGATAGATCACACTAAGTGAAGATATGTGTGTGTGTGTGTGTGTGTGTGCATTAGAGCCTGTAGAGCCTTAGGTGGTTCGCCATTAAGTCTCTGGTTTGGTTTGTCGAGCTGTCTGCCTGTTTTCATCGTTAGCATAAACCTATTTCGTGTGTAATGTATGTACTGTTTGACTGAATTTAATTATATACACGCAGCGGTAAAAAACCTTCCCTGACACTCTGGGCGCTTCGGAGCATTAAACCCACAACAGTGCTAGAAGTGACTCTCTGTAAGCCCAACCCAAGCTGAACAGTGTCTAGCACTTGTTGGTAATGTGGGTCTTGGATGAATCTGGTAGGTGATGCGGTCCCCAGACCACCCCCTCCATACGCTGTGGGTTTGAAATGGTCAGTTATCCCAACTTAATTAGCTAGTCATGGGTTCGGGTACAGCGAGTTCAGTTGCTTGCGCACGCGGCTCAGCTTGAACACCATACATGAGATTACCTACTGCTCATAAGAGGTTCATCAAGCGTAGTCCGATGTAACGGGCAAATCTAGAAACGGACGCAAGTGTCTCGCATGGCGGTACGACAAGTTAGCGGAACGGCCTGCACATAACAAATTCAACAAGAAATGGATACAGGAAACATTGGTGAATCAGATGTTGGACGCCTGGATGTGCAGTCTGCCTATAACCTAAGCAGCTCAAACAAATGTTGGATTGAAACCTGGTACCGACCACCGGGCTTGGTCAGCCGCGATTCGAGGCATCCGAAAAGCCGAGTAACCTCCACTGAGGACATAGCTGAACTAAATTAGGGGACACTTGATCACAGGTTGTTACCACTTCCTCCTGATCTGCTTAGACTTGCTGGCTTCTTGAGAAACACTGCCGTCTTCCATTATCGATAACGTCCGCCATTCGTCGCGTGTGTCAGACTGCAGCGCGGGCTCTATTGGTGTATGGCTGTGAGAATGGGCCAGTTCGCATGGAGCATCTGAGATATCTCCACCATCGATGTCTCAGAGCTATCACTAGGAGCGGCTGAAATGAGCGAATACGCTCACCTTTGGTGAAGTGGAGGGTCCTTCACTCAAGAAATGAATCCAGCAATGCAGGTTGAAGTGGCTGGGCTATGTGTTACGCGCTCCAAGTTATCATCTGCTAAGAACCTCGTCGTATATCATTTCTGATTTGGAGTGGTGGAAACCTAGATGGAGGGGATGAAACTTGACAGAAGGGAATGAGGGATGTTGCGGAGTCTGGGCCCTGTTCGCCGTCTAGGATATGGCTCACGTGATCCTACCTGTGATTGTCTGGAGACATCGAAAGATATGGCGGCTAATCGATATCAATGACGTTCTTGTTGTCACTTTCTATCCAGATCGTATGAGCACTCTCTACACTCCTTTTTTCTTTCCACCATAAGGCTTTATTCCAACAGATATGGGTGTAGGTCAGTGAAGCACCAGTAGTTTCCTTTGACATTACTGTCACTGATGAGGATGCCACCCGTCATGGTTTCTGGCGAATGAACCTTACCAACAACAGTACGCCAGGATTGACCATGAATCATCCATCCTGCAAACGCTTATTTCGATACAGCACAAAGATAAAGTGCATACTTTCAAAATCTCCTTATTCTATGTATAGATGCTTCGCTCAATAAGCCCAGTGTCACTGACTCTGGAGAGAGGAGACCAAGCTGCACCACGTTTCATTTTTCATCTTGTATTCCATGTATAGATCAAGCAAACTGAAGCAGTTGCCATCTATTCACTGAATACGACCATCAAACAGCAAATGTGATCAACGAAGAGAGTAAGCATGGGAGTATGGGACAAGGGTTCGTGTCGGCACACGAATTTCACCAGTGTCGGTACGATGAAAGAGGACAGAAGCCCCAACCAATTATCATCATTATTAACAGCGCCACTGTCTCCAAGCAGGCAGCAGTTAATGCTTGCTGCAAGTGGTGAACCTCCGGAGCAAGGCAGCATAGGTTGACAGGAGACTATCAGAATGGTGTAACTTCTAAGGGAAAACTGCCATAGCCAATATCAAGGATAGTACTACGCCAACAGTGCAAACTGTTTCATAACTGACCCTCAACCGTGAAGGAAAAAGGTTCTAGTATATAATGAGAAGAGGAAAAGGTGGGGACTTTTTTCTCGCGTTCTGATGACGTGAAAATTGACTTATTCTGTTAGTACAAACAAGGCTTACGCAGCTGTCAAGATATGTAAACCGATTGACGAACTCAGGCTCCTTAGCGGTTAGGGCGCACGCTTACTGGCCGGAAGGTTCGGGTTCGAACCCAACCTAAGAATCTCGAACGCTCCTCTCTAGGCTTGGGCGACCCAGTAATATCTTAGTCTTGGTGCTTCCTTTGGGTGGAGTGGCAGTTAGGCACCTAGGGGTAGACGGCTTGGGCGACCCAGTAATATCTTAGTCTTGGTGCTTCCTTTGGGTGGAGTGGCAGTTAGGCACCTAAGGGGTAGACGGTGACAGGGCCGAAATCGATCTCCAACGTTTAAGGCGTGATTGTCAGTGACCTAAATCATCACGCTATTAGATCCAGTCACATTCTACGTGCTTCTTTGTTTCCGTTACGGCAACATGTATACATGCAATCTGGGAGCCAAGAGGGCAGCGGGAGCGACAGCACCGTTAAGCGAAATAGCCCAGTTAAGGCATAATCAATATAAAGGATGACTAGAAGGCGGAAGGACAACAGTGAGACTCATTAAACACGGCCAAAATATATGATATGATAATCAAACTATCCACCAACACATACGCCCTGCTGCACGTCGAAATGCGCACGCATAAACCAAACCGGGACGTGCATGTGCGCACCATACAAGAGGTAAACAACAACAACAGCCAGTCAAATACGGCCAAGGAAAGACTGTCGTTGTCAAGCGAAATAAACATTGGTCGGTCCAAACACTGGCTGTGTCCACCCTCAGGGTGCTTATTCGCTCAAGTATCTTCTACACACGCACACAGTCAGAATTCACTAGATTTTGGCAGACGAATTTCTATCGCATTTCCTATCGACGACTGTCACGAGAGCCAGAATAGCATATAAACAGACAGTAGCAGTGTGTCTGTGTACGAGTACCTCAAAGTATGACTCGACATTGGTATGTGTGCCTATTTCACCGCTTAACATTGAGTACATCGTTACATTTGTAACTCTACTTAAGGTATTCGGTACCTCACAACACCTGGGCAACAAGACCAGCTTCATAGCCAAATGCCCCTAGAAGAGCTTAGACGCATGTCTAAGATGAAACAAAGCCAGTTTTTTGGGAGTGTGACTTTCGCTGTCTGAGTGAAAAAGGCGGTCCAACGTCCGTAGTACATATTGGGGTGCGTTGTTTCTCGACGTGTAACCGATGAAATGCAAAACTTCGGGACTTATAGGCTTCCTTCTCGGCTACCACTACGATCAAATATGCTTCATTTTTTCGACAAGTGTGGAATGATGAGGAGGATAGACGCGATGTGAAAAATAGTACCGCCCAGGAAAACGACGTACGCTGAGTAATTCAACCAGAATCAATCGGTACTACTTAGATTGGACATGAGCTGGCTTGTGGACATAACACATGTGTTTACCTAGCAGGGAAAATCAATAAACAGAAACACTGCTTTATGTTCAAGCGACGGAGACGAAGAGATTTACAATACACGTCCAAGACCAAACAAGCTACCAGAGGCGAAGGCTTGCTTGCTCTGCGGAGCATTGACTACGCCAGGAAAGGACGGGCTTGCTATCACAATCGGCAAGGTAGTTAAGAGTGTGCAGAGGAAATCTCCCTGGTATTTGTTTCCTCGGGATTAAATCCTCAATTTTGTTCCCCAGTGACTTGCTAGATGTACGTGTAGCTCGGCACATGCTTTCTTGAATGCCAAGAATGATCGTCAAGCGCACAGTACTACAACATTCCAAGAAATGTCGAAATACTGTCACAACCAGTGGAAGTTGAAAATTGGTCGGTAGTGGCAACATAACAGAAACAAAATGGACATTAGGATTCATTGACGAACAGATTTTTTGAGTTACACAGTGAGTCCTCGAAGCGTGTGGCACAGATCTATAGGATAGCTCAACAGATAAAGTTCTCTGCTTCTGTATTGCTTATGTACAGGTCTGGTGACGTATCGTTATATTAAATGGTAGTAGGGCGTGCAAACTTAGGGTTTAAAAAAAGTATATTCACATCACTGACATAAACAATCCTCCACTTGTCCGCATGGAATAAATTTGTTGAATCCACACCAAGCAGTTCGATGGACGGACTCGAGCTTCGCTCTTATTACAGCTCATCGGCCATGCATATTTCTAAGCATGTTGGGATTGGAGCTTCGAGCATCTGGCCCTGGAAACAAGCGTACCATGACTTGTCCAACAGTATACGTCGCACCTGAGAAGGTGCGTTACATTTGACTGTCAATATAGCCCCAGGTTGGCCACTTCAATATAATGCGGGATCAACAAGGACCCTGTTCTTCTGCGCCGAAAATTTTCGTTCAGCGTGGTAAACACAATCCTGTCTTTTTCCACGCTCGATAGTTCCGGTCAAAGCACCGTGGTTTATTGCTTCACGTCCAACGCTTCTTATTCTAGCGCTTATGTTGCTACTTCTCCAGCTCAATTCGTTCAAAATATTTCCAGCACTGCTACAGCGCGAATGAAAACCGACATTGCCACAAGCCGTATCAGAGAATCGCTGAAGGGTGGGCATTTCGATTAATCCTGTTTGGTCTGCTAAAGTTGACTACTGTTGACGGCTGACAGTAGTAAGATTTTAGGGGCGATTTTGATTGAACAGTGTACCAAAAAGTGGCCTGCTGATGGACAGAAACCCACCTGAAGGTACGTCGATTGAGACCACGGGAATCTTCGCTTGACACATATAGTCCAATAAAGTCCTGAATTCTGCACTAACAGGAGGCTTGAAACCAAAACCGAACAGCGCATCCACGATCAGGTTGTAAGAAGAACCCCATTGACTAGCCATCTGAAAAGTGTGGACGTTGTACGGTAAATGTAAAAGCAAGCTCGAAAAATATCTAAAAAGTGGCAAGTTGCTCAAGACCCGGTATTTAACAGAGTTGTGAAGACCATGGGGCATGTAAATGCTCGATTCAGTTACAAACTCCGTTTGTTTTTCTTGAATTCCGTAAACAAAAATGAAATGGCTGGGGGGTATTTTATTATCAACAAGCACGGACACCAACAAATTAAGTTGTTTTTTTGAATGCAGGGTACCGATGTCAACCCAGGATACGTGTATCTGCTACCTAGTTAGAGCGGCCGTGCAAGATACAATAAACCCACTCCGTTATACGAATGACATACACTATCTGGTCCAATGTAAAAATTCCCTCTTAGATACGATCCTCACCCAATTCAACGTGCGACAGACATCTTTTTTAACTGATAAAACTCGCTCTGTCGAAGTAGCAAAGGCAGGCTAAGCAGAACCTTTTTCCCGCTAAGAAGAACCTAACAAGCGCACAACTTAGAAGCATGGATGAAGCAACGCAGGTAACCGAAATTGAGGCCAGTAACCCGTATTCGCGTGCGAGCGAAATACCCTAACTACGATACGGCTTCACAGATAAACCATCCAAATCGATCGTATTACAGGAGCTGGAAACACTGACGAACCAAGCGGGGTGGCTTGTCGAACCGGACGGGAAACTGTTACCAGGAGAGCGTCGGATTTTGAAATCAATGTAAGGGAGCAATTCTTCAGCTCTAAACACCGCCCGAGGCGTCAGTTGCCGCAGCACAATAGACTAACGCCTTGACTGATTCAACTGTAGAATAATTTTCAATTGCTCAGGAGTCGTCCTAATGGTGATGTCTGTTTAACCCCTTCTAATCATATAGAGAGTTAGAGACAGAAATAGTCATACAATCTGTTGAAAGGAATTTGGGACTGATTGAGTAGTTTCATAGAGGTTTCGTAAATAATCGCTGGATCTTTCTCTCGGAAACGTTTTGCTTTTGACACAAAAGCCTCATCAGGCCAAGCGAGTAAGTTATCAGGTTAGTCTTAGGGTGGTTAGAGAACCAACCGGTGAGATTTTTTACGAATAGCCGACTTGATTGGTGCTGGATGTTAATCCGAAATTGGTTAGTGTGAATGACTAGCACGATATATTGGTTAGAGAGTCGTCTTCAAGTTGGATCTGGACCTTACGGTCTAACTTTTCCAGTCTGAAAAATTCCTCTTGGATCTCGTTCACAGATTTTGTTGGCCCGTATGCGTTGAGGGGTGTCGGGACAATTGGACTAGGGTTGATGAAGGATTACCAGACCCCACTGAAGCCACACAACCTATTTTAACAGTAGTGAATGATATCACTGCGAGCATACTCAAATATTGTGTGGTCCATTCATATGAGCCAATTCAACCTCGAGTAGAGGAGTACTGATATTCACCTTAGAAAGAGGTTCGGAGTACTTCAGCTAACCAAAGACAGCCGGGAAAAAGCTTGGAGTCGAAAAGAATGTTTCCAACATACATGTTTCCATACATAACGGCCTAGTTGGTAAATATGATCGTCTATTACAATGGCATAATCTGCCTGTCTTTTCGAAGTCATAATAGAAAGATAGCACTTTATTAGTAAAAATTTATTACGGTGGTCGCCCTTTGGAGAATTCAGAGACCGATCAAAATCGTTCCGCAGTGCGTAGAATTCTATCGAAGTGGGATTTAATCTTTTCGGTGATGAATGAATAGGTCTGCAGTAATCACCAACATATCAGCTGTTTGTTGCCTATTCGGTCATCTCTAAAATTTATTGGGTCTGTTCTAGTTGTTTCATACAGAGCAAATTCCTCAAGACGAACTACACTGGAATATGCACACACATTGAATGACATTAATTGCTTTTGCAACGGCGCAGTTCCGGTTGGGTCGGTTCACTTCACCTTTTCTGACGATTTCTTCAGGTCCGTTATCGTCATCTTCGGCCTCAACTGGTAGATTTGTAGAGGTTTACCTCACAGGTTACCTCGCTGCTGTCATCATAACTTACACTCATACCATTAAGAGGAGAACAGCTTTCGTTTGCTGATCAACACTAGCGGGTCTTGTATGAGCGAAAAGCCACTCCATAACTGGCACTGGGATAAGGCACAACGGAAGCTTTCCACGATCCTCGCTTTTGCGTAAATTTCCCACAATATAATTGATATTTTCTTAGCGGAATACACTACTCATAAGGTTGCTGAAGACTCTTCGACAGCCCATAACCGGTTTTGCTATTCCTGTGGCTCAGCAAGTAGGCGCGGTCCCAAAATTTCCATCTGTCCTACGTTGCATTTGATCTAATCTGCATAAGATTCGTAAAATACACTTATTTTTCTGGCGCATAAATGAGGCACCACACTTCGATGCAGAAAATAAGATGCACATTAAGTTTGACAGTCAGTTGTAGCGGCGTGGAACAAGTTCATTTGGGAGCGTTTGCCCGTCGTAATTAATGTGGTAGGGTTATCCAAAACTTGCTTATGACAGTTTTTGAAGGACGTCACAAGCAAGAGATTCGTCTGAAACTTCTGATGAAGCCAATCTGATATGTAAACCAGCTGTCCACATGTGCAAGTAAACATCTGAGTTCATAAGTTTCAATGTATTTTCTATTCGTGAGCTCAACTTTTCTAGACTGCATTGGAGTTCTGGCCACTCATGCTACCCCTGTCCGTATAAACCTGACGAAGACAATCGTACCTCTGGTGTGGGAGCTTGAAAAACGTCGATGTTCACCTTCTCACACTGTCGGACCAGATTCTTGTAAAGTTGTTTCGTCGGTGTTCGTGGATAACAGATAGTCGGATTGTAGCCCTGAAGGTAGAAAGAAAACATAAATGGGTTCACTTCCGAGATTAGTGGGGTAAGATGGTGGATTTAGTAGCACATGAAACACACTTTTCACGGGTGCTTATGTCGACTAAAGATGTCAGCTACTGGCGAGAGGGGGGAAGAGTGAAGTAAGTCGCGATCTGGAATTATAGAAACATGAATACTTGTTTGGTATGGAAGACTTCGGAGATCGCCAGGTACCAGTGGTTAGCAGAACGACTTCGATCACAAACGGCACCACGAAGGCAGGAGTGTCTATCCTTCATTAATAGAGGATAACCGAAAGTTTGGTTGCTACCGGTAGACTACTGGAACGTAAACGGTAGTTGGTGATAAGGGACTGAATTTCACTGTCCAAAACGAGGTCACACAAATCGCGTAGGGGTATTACGGACCCTCACATGGTTTGTAAGGACACTGCGATCTGGTCATAAGCAGTGAAAAACAATGGGAATATGACATCCAGTACCTGTTGCCGGAGTCGCATCGCTTCGTCCGTCGAGGTCAGTGAGTTAGAGAAGTGAGCAGCGTGGGCAGGAGGAAAGGGGAATTTGTGTTTGATTATCAGTATCTCTTAAGAATCGGTAGGTTACCCTGGTCAGGTCAAACAGGATATAAAAGGCCTATAGACGGTCAGACCATATACGGGTAACGAGGCACTAAAAAACAGCTCGGTTATGTCGCCTCATCAGAACTATCCCTTTCAATGCGTGGCGGTTCAACATCCCATTTCTTCAAGTACCTAGAACAATTCGACAACAGTAAGTGACTCTTCCCTATTCACCCCATCCTCGGTGATTACCCGGTTTTCAAAAAATGCACGATAAAGACTATGAACGTAACCGACTGAGCGCACCCATAAAGACACCAACTACGAATGTTGAGGTTCACTGTGTAAAAAAGCAGACTGCGCGAACTGCTGATGCCGAAAGACAGTCCATATCGTACAACGTTCCCATCTGGCTGCCACCAATTCATTCGAACGGTGAAATACAAAAGTCGGCACAATATAGAAGAACGACTGACTTACGAACATTTTCAGATGGCGAGCGCATACAAGTCCATCACCACCGTTATTTCCAGGTCCGCAACAAACCAGCAAAGCCCCATTGGTAATCCGGAGTTTGTCACGCGGATAAGCCTGTGAATATGAGGAGAGGGGTAGATTCAAGGACAGTGATAGGCATTTTGGAAGCGAAAACACCAAATCAGTAGGAAGACGGAGATAATGGGAAACTGAAACTTAGATTTCCTAGGGCTTTCAGTGTCATGCACTACAAAAAAGCACGAAGCACAAGCCTACAAGTAAAAAACTACAGGTCAGAGGGAGACCTGAACCACGAGTTACCCGTTAGGACAACGTACCCAAACATCCGCGTCAACCCTCACTTTCAGCTGACATTTCGTAGTGGTGAGATGAAACATAAACATGCACCGAACGCTGAGGGACGGGTAATGGTTCTCAAACATGTGAGTTCATAACCCCTTTAAGATTCTAAAGAGTAGCATTATCACACCCTCATTTCGTAAGCGCTAAGCAGTCAGTAAGGACCTATTGTGTGATCCTTCCACACATTCGCCGATATGGCTTTTCTGGAACAGGTGCAGGGGAAAACTAAAATATTCGAAGACATCTGATGAGACGCCCATCCTCTATAGCGTTCGCACTGGTATATTGAGCATCCATTTCCCAGGTGCAGGTCACATCATCCGAATTTCCGGCTCCTTTGCCCGTACAAATGAAAAACGGTGTTGTACTCGTAGTCTCGGCTAAACGATTTGACAAACTCGTGAAAGAGGAAGTCCAAGTTCACATAAAACAAAAAGGACACGCCTGAAAATTATGGTCGAACCAACGGGTACCCAACTGAGTCACCGGGTAAGGCATTCACCCGGTAAGAGAGGCAAACTCTCCTAGGTCTCGCGGTTCATCTTGGACAATGCAAAACCCGGAAGCGCTCGATAGTACTTGAGAAACTGAAGCTCCCAAGTCATTTAGTGTGAGCTAAGCGGAGAACGGTAGATCCCTGGTACAAACACTGAAAAATGTTTCCGTAGATCCATCACAATTGAAGCAGGCAAAGTATTCGATCTGCGATCCATCAAAGTATAAACTGACGCTGCCATAATCCACATCACTGCGACCAAAATATTCCGCTTCGAACAGTTCAATTTAAGGGACGACTGGAAGAGTTTTCGTTTGTCTTCCTTGTATCTTGTCGCATTACAGTACTGAACCACAGACCAATGTGACCATGATATGATATGGACCCCGTATAGGCTGGACAAATAATCTGCTCTGTTAATCCTTAAATGAACGTATGAGATAAAAAAAAGACGTTCGAGAAGCTATCAAGTGCAGCATGAAATTTCTATATGATGGCGGAAGGTTCGGTTTCGCATTCGGTGTGTACAAGGAGATTTTCGTAGAAACTGTTAAGGTGTCACTTTTTTACTAGTCATCCAAATAGTCTCTGTACGCTACTGAATTCGTAAACTATGTCCAACGTCAAAACACCGGTTACGTGATAACGTGATACTTGACTAAGGACATTGGTCAATGGCAAACGCATCCCAAGTGTGAATATTCCTATCATCTCGGGAACTAAAGTGTCACCTGGTCGGTTCTTTGAAGTTGCCTTCTTGAGGGGTTGCAATGAGAAAGATCCCATGCCTCAAAAGAGTCGTTTCTTCATGAGAAGGAGTAGCTGTATCATGTGACGAAGTTATCTATCGGCAGGCGCTGAACGCACATTTGACCAGACAGAACCAAACACAGAATTCGAAGAGGAAAAGGAAACCAAGTGACTGAAAATATGAATGGTAAATAAATGGTCGGCAATTTAGATCAATTATAAAGAGATGAGTTCAAATCAGGGAACCGACAAAAAGAACAAGTCATTCACCAGTCGATGGTCAAAAATCAATACTCACTTTCGCAATAGCAGTAGCACAGCTGAGGCCTGCAAGCTCCATCAACTGATCCACAGAGTAAGCATATTCGGTGAACAATTCGTTATCCAACTGCTGTGCATCTGCCTGACTGAAGCGATAGATGCACCAAATGAGGGTAAGTGATAATTAGTAAGAGAACACATTTTCGTACTGTAACACGTGCAGTTCAAACTGTATAAATCACGGTTAGGGGAAGCATAGGGGAGAACCGCCCCTGGTTGCGAGCGAATATACCAGATGAAGATCGTCCGCTGATTGACAAATTCATTACGGAGACGTAAATTCATTCTGCTGCCTCTGACACTGAATCTAGTCAGGGCTGCCAGGCTGGTACATGGTTTCAGAATGATTTAAGCCAACCTCAATGAACATCAGTTAATTCTGTTGAGAAGGTACGGGGAGAATGTGGTTGCTGAGCGAGGAGAACTCTAACCGGTCACTCTGCTACACGAAACTGGGAGTAAGTAGGGAGGACCATGGGAACACCGAAGTAAACAATCAAACAATTGATACACGGACGCTCTGCAGACTTTGTCAAGATCAAGAAAAGTGACGGTTTTGTTTTGCCGAGTCGACCAAAACGCGAGCACGTTAGTAAGAGTCACATAAGAAATTTGTCAAACAGTGTACGTGTTCAAAAATAGCACCAGAAATAGCACCTGCGAACACCTGTATTCATGGGTTTTAAAAACACAGCAACACCGACAGACAACCGGTCTCCTAGTTCAAAGCCTCCTGCATGGTTCGTCGTGATACGGTTCCAAGGTTCCTGCTCTTCAAAGTACCGTCCGTGATATTTGTCTCGTATAATAAAGCAGCCTCAATTGAACCATTTATTAAGATCTTGGTCTATGACACAGCTTTGGAAGATGACTCCGATGGAAATCCAAAGCCAATTCTGCGACAACTCCACTTCTTTCCTAACCATATAGGACAAACGAAGTGACCGGACGCAAATAAGTAAGCTCAGTATTGTTGTTTCTCCGAACTACGTAAAGACGCCAATGCTATGATCAAAGCCTGTTTAAATGACTAACATCACATACTAACTAACTAATATGGGAGTCAATAGGTGTAGAAACGTGTTTAGGAAATCTTCGTTTCTGCCTGAGGTAGGTATGGACCGGATGAGATCAGGCTAGAAGTTGAGATGTCGTAAGACAAGCTCAACTTCTTTTACACTTCACAAACCAGGGAGGTAGAAAGGATATGGGGTGCATCTTGAGGTGCGTGAAGAGTTCGGCTCATGGTGATTTTAGGCTCAATGTTACGTGAAAGCGATCCCCAGGAAAATCGGCATCACCTCTCAGAGGGAGAGGTCGTAAAGAGGGACAAAGCTGTTTGGAAAGAGCGCACAACGAGTGCTGTTCAACATAGTGAATATTTGCGACCAATTAACAGGGTTTCCCCATGTAGCAAAATAACCATTCGAGCTGTCATTTTCATAAAATCTGAGTAGCTATCACTGCATTGTCCTGCATGCACTTCCGTTTAATGTACTGAAATTGGGAGTTGTAGGTTTTGGGTGTGTAGTCAAACTAGGATGGTATAAGCCCGTGTGTTGCTAACGATCTTGTGCTGTTAGCGGGATGCACAGATTCGCGCATGCGTCAGTTTCAGTTTGCTCGTTAAACTTGAGGACGGAACTTGATTGTTTAGAACAGACCCTGAGAATATTTTTACGATTGCCATGCGTGTTATTGGAATGAAAATCAGTCAACAGGAACTGACCGAGATTGCAATACATTAGGAATACGGAATCATTGAAGAAGACCGAGCTAAGATCCATGTTTAAAAAGAGGCGGCGAGATACTAGGTTGCACGAATAAGTGTCAGGATGCCACCTAGATTAAAGTGAGCTGTTATCTTTCACATTTCCGGAGCAGTATTGAGTGAAAAAGCTCTTCTCCCCACACATCGAAACAGACCTCACGCTTCCCGAAATAGGGATTTCAGTCTTTCTAAGTGACCCTCAGCTCGATATCAACAAACTAGTCTCCAATCACTAGATTCACTCACCGCTGCAGCCATTGTCCTTTGTGCGCAGTAACTATCCCAATACAGGTATTACTAGTTAGTGACTTTTTAAAGGGATCAAGCGCCAATTGCAACTGATGGGGAGTGCTGAATTTTATTTTAAAAACCTAATTAAAATCCTCCTACTACATAGAATAAGATTGGATTTATTTCAGTGGAACCTCATCAAATTTAACGGATACATCGTCTCCAACAGGAATGTGTAAGTAGTGGTACGCCAAGGAGCTACCAACCACGCCACTCCGCACTGTGGGCTTACATGATTAATAAGAAATCAGGAGAAAACTACGAGACAGTATTTTTGTGGCACAACTCCTAAAAGGCCAAGCGAATTCCATCGCATTTAGGAGGAAGAGTAAAAAGTAAAAGAATCGTTCAGATGTAACATCCGATGCCTAGCTGCCATGTTACCCGAAGGAAGCACGAGGACTGGGATAATGTCCGGTTGCCCAAGCCTAGACAGAAGCCGATAGGCAGAGGTCGGGACCTTCCGGTCAGTAACTTCGCTCTCTAACCACTTGAGCCACCTCGCCGTAGGAGGAAAAGTAGCCGAAAGCCGCGATAGTCGTGCACAACGATCTGTCTTACTGGGAATTAGGCTGTTACGTGAGGATTCGTCGGAAACATGGAGTAGTGAGCAAGCGGAACCATAGATGTTCCACATATGGCTACATGTAAGCCAAATTCTCAAGTGTCGGCTTCTCACTTCCTCACAGTTTCAGACGGTATCTTCGGTATATAATCCAACAACTTACAGAGGGCCACGCACATAGGCGTCATTGATATCCCACTCAACCAACACTTTTCTCGACATCGGAAGGTCCACTGAATATGAACGGTTCCAGAAGAGATCCGCCTAAAGAGTGAGAACAATTCTAGAAAGTCCACAACAGAGCTATCTGTCAGTCACGATCTGGTTTGCGACCACCACCCCAGGAGAGGCTGAACCATCCCTTACTAATGTTTGTCTCCCAGTATAGTGGGTTTCTACTGTAAGTAGCGATGATCACCCAACAGCAGACGTCCTGTTATCACAAACCAAAGTAGTTAGGGAAACTAGCATCAAAACAATGTATGGAAGATTTGAACTATACTGCTATGACGATGACAAAAAGCAAGATATGGGAGGTGGCCGAGATTGCTACCTTAAAGGCTTCATTTTGCCACAGTGAACAGAACTGGAAACAACCTAATAAGCCACTTGATTGAGGTAGGGATTGATCGGTCTCCCTCGGACTCATGGGGTTAACACAAGTGTCCCACAAGGTACGGTCCTTTCTTCAAAACTTTTAATCCACCTTTCTGATTCTGTCTCATCTCGGATTATCGGCGATCGTATGTGTTACCTATACGCTGAGCGTCGATCAATGATAGGGGCCTTTGTTGGTTCACTAGTCTAGATGCATAATCCTATGTATTCAAATTCAACAACAATTATCCACGTGACAAGGGAACGACGCAATGGCCATTACGAATGAGGCGCGTTTTAAGCAGAAAAAACTGAGGCTTACTTGAGGTAACTGATCATTGAGGACCGATTAGTAAGCACAGGCAATTTTAGAACACTGGGACGGAAGAACAACAGCGCAGAGGTCCGAAACTGAAATAGAAAGGAGTGAAATATCTTCTGGAGAAAGTGTCCAGAGGAACTCACCACAACGAAGACCTTCAAAAGAGAAATCGCAAAGCTGTAATCTTTTCTGTGCCTATAGGGCATCTACAGATGCCCTACAACCAGAATGAGGCGTGAGAGCTGCAATACTGCCAGGTCGAGATGCTGGACTGGGTTTGATCCACAGACCTTGTGGTCAGTAAATTCGCACCTGAATCACTTAAGTACTCAAGACAAAGACGTCCCTTCTAACGTAGCACAAACTGCTTTAGATTCCGATACTGTGGGTTAAATAAGCAGAGTAGCACATCTGCGAGAGGAGCGTCTCGCGGTCTGACGGGATATCCCAGTCATCAATGGATTTATACAACTGGCTACAAATAGCTGTTTCGATGCTGAAGGCAGTCAATCACCAGTATGTATTGCTGTCAACCATAATGGTGGTGGTACGGAAGCCAAAGCACCCTGGTGCTGCTTTAGAAAAAGCATGATGTCCTTCCACAGGGGAAAACACGTATGTACTCCCAGGCCACTTCGGATTATGATTCTGCGCAGCACTGTGCCATGGGGCGTTTTATCTGATTGATCCCCTTTGCCCTACCGAATGGATCTGCACCTTGTAGAACGAATTTCAGGCCAGTGGAGTCCACGGAACCACCCAAGCATTAATTATAGAAAGGTGGAGGCCCGATTAGGGAGTAATCTGCTGCGACAGTGGAACAGCCTGATTCAAATTATGTCGCTGTTCTATTCCCGCCTAGTAAACACATGGCCTCCGATGGCCAGGAGTGGATAAGTTTGCGACGCTATTGCCACTGATTCCCTTTATGAACACAAGCCAAATAAATTATTTGTGGCATAAAGGCCATTGAAAACGAGTAAAACAGGATAGGCTGGATGTTGGAATCCTATTTAGAGTTATCTTTGAAAGTGATTTGTTTTCATGCACCACTGACTCAATATACTGTGTATTTAGTAGGGTTACCACCTTTAGGTGACCGTAGCCACCGGTGGTAAGCGTAAGGTGCCACAGGTGGCGTGTTAACTGGGCAGAAGGACTTCTTGAAAGTCAGTCGATTTCGTTCGTTGCTGCCGCACCCGAATGTCCACCCAATGATACGATCAAACTGTTGGTCAGCGGTGTTTTTTAAGCCTATGCATATGTAGGGGGTTAAAGGACCACATGCCCGGGACGGGCATTCGAAAGAACCAGTTGTTAACGGGACCTGTTGTGGTTCACAACTCCTACGCCAACAATGGGACTGACGTTCCGTTCACCATTGTGGATATAAATGCATGATAGCCTGAAAATTGATTATTAGAGACAAGGGGAGATTGGTACAACTGTAGGTGTGCATTTATCACGCGATTTTCTCAGGGAAAGTGGGACGAGAAGCGCCAGGCTAGAAATAGTCGGTTCTGATTGGCCTAAATTCTGGTCAATAAGAGCACGCCTTTTGGTCCATGGCTGACTCATGACATATCGGCACCACCGTTATACATTGTTATTCAAAGGCTCACTTTCAGAAAACTTCTTAGAAGAGTCCGCAGGCTATTGACACGCCGAAATTGAGTTCGCCGAAACTATTGGGTTTCCGAAGTTGCCATTTTTCTGTGAAGTTAGTCTAATCAATTTGCACCTTCCCGTGACATGTTGCACGTAGCATTTTGTTTAAGTGAGCAAAATGTCAAGGTCAATGACCATCGCCGATTTGGATTTTTTTACCGGTTTACGCGACATAAAACAGGAAATCGTACTTCAGCATATTTTGGCGTTCCGCGGTGTTCCTGAAGGATAAAAATAACATCTTAAGAGTATTTAATACAAATGTTATGTTAAAGTTATGTTAAAGTTATGCTAAAGTTTACCTCCGCCGAACCAAGGTTTCCGAGAAATTTTCCTCGTGCGTCTAGCCCACAGCTCATTAAGAGGGTAGGTACTAGAAGGGATTCACGGAGTCACGGATTGATACACAGGATCGAAGCTATTGCCCAAGTTTCCTGGGTCGCTTTTGTTCTTGTCGGTCAGTGGCTGTCGTTCACCTGAAAGACACAAGTGAAGAAAGGGTGTAACACCGCTCTTTATGTTCACAGCGCGGGACAGTATGCTCGCCAGCGCGAGGATTCGCATAAATAAATGTCAAATAGTGCTTTAAGCTGGGTTCTAGAAGGAGCGTAAACAACCACCGGAGGAAGTTCATTCCACGCACCTACTACCCGAAATGAGAAAAAATTTTGTCTGATGACTTTGCGTGCTCTGAGCTTGAAAATTTTCTTACTATGTCCCCGCCGGTTGATTGCTGGCTCAATGGTAAAAAAACCTGCTTGCTAAGCTTTGTTCAAACAGGGCATAAGTAAGAATCAGGTCCCCTCGGAGGCGACGATACTCTGAAGGAAAGAGATCAAGCATCGCTAGACGGGTATCGTAGTCCACGGATTTCAGGCCGGCAACCATTTTCGTAGCGTGTCGCTGGACACGCTCAATGAGGGTGAAGTCTCTCGTGCGCCCTGAGTAGACAACTTGGTTGGCGTGTTCCAAGGGCGGTCTGATGTAGACCCCATAGAGTATTTGGAAGTCCATGCGAGTAATACGGGAGAAGGTGCGTCGGATCGTCCGTAAAATGGCGAATGCATTTTGGTTCGATTAAGTTGTCCGGCTCTCTTCAAACATGTCCTCCTCACTGAACCATGAAAAGCTGGTTCAAAACGCATTTTCCGATCTACGTATGATTCAGCGAACCCTCTCGGTATCAGTTGGATGGACTCCCAGACACCCTAGTAGGCTTACGCAAGACCGCCTCTTGGATACGCCAATAGAGTTGATAATCAGAATGCAAGAAGAACATGCCCCTCACTGAGCGCGTCCAACAGGCTGCTACGAAAACGGTTGGCGGCCTTAAATCTGTGGACCGTGAAGCGCGCCTCGTGGTGCTTGACCTCTTTCTGCTGGAGTGTTATCGCCTTTTAGGAGACCTAATTTTATTTGGTTCGGTCAACAAGTTTTTCGCCGTTGACCTGATTAGTACATGGCGGGCACACGGCAAAAAAAGTTCAAGCTCAGAACACACTTCCATCGGCCAACCGTTTTTCTTATCCCGGGTAGCTGGTGCGTGGAATAACCTTTCTCTGACGGTTGTCCACGCTCCATCTAGAACCTGATTCAAACACCATTTCAGAATTTTTATGTGGGTCCTCGCGCCTGCAAGCTTACTGCCCCGCACTGAGAACTTAAAAAGGAGGGATACCGACACTTTTCGTTTGTGATTTTAAGGTGGACGGCAGCCGCTGAAAACAGATAAAAGTGACCCGGGAAGACGTCGATCCTCTTTATAAATCTGTGAATCCATGAAGAGATTCTAGGCCTGGTTGCATTGTTTTACTAATAGAAAATGGCTGCGAAACTGGGGTGGGATAGACGGTCGATCGGTCGATCTGTTTCTACTGTTGTCGTGAAATATTGTGAAAACACGACAAGATGATATCTTCACTAAACATTGGATACCTCGTGGGTTTTCTAGGAGGCAAGAGTACACGGACCACATCGCCCATTCCAGTTACTAAACTCGCCCCATGAAGCGTTCCCTGTGGTTGGTGGAATAAGATCGGAAGCTCATGAGAACCTCGCGATAAAGCGCCTAACTACTTACAGACAGGCACGTCGTAGAAACCCAGCTCTAGTCCCTCGTCTTCTTTTTTTTGGCTTGGGAGGCCTGATGCTGCTGCGGCGCTCAACCTTTGCTTGAACGGCACAGCTGGATGACTGCTTTCGTTTCTTATCTTCATTCTGCTTAGAATCACCTAGGTACTTCCAGGGCTTGTTCATTGTTATTGAAGGTTAGCCACAATCCTCATAGTCTTCCACTGGAACTGGGAGGAAGTCGCTGGAATGACAGAGTTACTCAGTAAGCACACTGTTTTTCTACGTCGGAAGAGGCCTGTAGTCCTTAATCTCTCTCAGATCCCTCCAGTTAGTCGCAAAGTCTGGTATAAAGAGGATTTGCAACATCCAGTAGACACATGATGTCCAGTTGACAGAAACGGAATGTTGCGTTGAGTACCTTGATCACCCCGTCCCAAAGAGTTCAGGACAGCTTCAGCACATCCCAATGGGCGAAATCGCTAAGGAAATTTCTCTCCCTGGGCGCCACACATCATGACACCGTACAACCAATCATGTCTGATATCAGAAAAACTACAAAAACAACCACCTAGCACGAGTATTTAGAGAGACCGGAACGGTTGAAATTATCGCCATTGCTCCTAAATTTTAACTGTAAGATGCCACGCATGCACAAATGCCCGGTATCAGTTTAAAATTGTGTGCATCAAGTAAACCTAACTGATCAACCTCAGAGCCCAAAGCTATACCGAGGATAGCAGATCCGCAACCAGGCACGTTTCATTTGCGGAAGGGGCGGATCATATTTTCAGTGCTAAGTCTCCACCTTTCTTACCGTTAGCTTACCGCTCTTGTCTTTTCTCGATGTTGAAGGAGCTTTCATGCGGTTAATAGAGACGCTATGTTGAGCTATCTGGTTACAATTGTGATAGTATGATTAAAGCAAGTTCACTAGGGCCTTGTACGCTCACCCTCAGTTCAAGGAGCAGTTTATGGTCAATCGCGCTGCACGTTTACCGTTTTGGGATTTGGAGTATCACCGCTCTTTTCCAACTTCACTATAGAATACGTCTCGAAAAACTCACCCTTTACAGGTCACATTTGCGCTCTGGTGCAAACATATGTGATTTGGGATATTCAAACCGCAGGGCCTCAAAATTTGGCTAGGCTCAAGTGGTCTAACTGGACACCCAAGCAATATCAGACCAGCATTCTGAGAACACATTGTCCACTCCAACAGGGATGCTTCATTTCCCTAATCTGACACACTATTACCGATGTGCCACAGTCATGCAACCTGGTATTTGATGTGCCATACCAAAGAAATGTATCCCGATGTCCCATAAACCAGCAAAAACTGTATGAGATAACACTTTGACATAGTCGGTTGAAGACTGGCTTACATGAGAGTCTTGGATAAGATTCAGACGAGTTTCCCTTAGCGCTACAAAGATGGCAGTTTCAGGACGACACCACGCATATACTG